GGTGGGCAGTGCAGCAGCCGGGATCGGCTGGCGAGCATGTGAAATACTTCCTTTTCAAAAGAGCCCGCATGCACAGTGCTCGGATATGCGCTCGGAACGCCTAGCGTATTACGGACAAGCGTACATGCTCTGTAATGTACTTGGTGTTTCGACACATACACGTATAGGTAGAATTCGGAACTCTAGTAATTAACTACCAGGCATGCCTGCGTCATACTGCTCAGTGATGCAACATGAGCACTAATCACGGTTCTCTCTTTAAATTTGAACGGGATGTCCACTGCCTAGACCAAAATGATACAAGACAAAAAAAAGAAAAAAAAGGAAGTAGAGCACGACAGTCGCAGGTCGTGTTTCTAGTTTTCTCATTTGTCTCGTGTATTTCGTACACTTAGCAAGGTGCGTACGGTTCAAAAGCGCGGCAAACCAAATAGCCCCTTCGGAAGCTTTGCAGATTTCACTTTTTTATTAACTTAGCAAGGGAGGGGAACAACTCAATAGTCAATTAGTCCCAGTAGCAAAAAGGCAACCACTTTTTTCTTCGCCAAAGATATAGCATGACCATTGAAGCGCGTTATGTCTCGCCCTCCTCAGCGAGAGAGATCAATGATTAGTGTCCTACGGGGATGGCGAGAGTGTATGCTATGCACGCAGGTATTTCTCTAAGTTCATTTCGATGTAAACTGATCATGTTTCGTGTTATTGGTGCCTCGAGAGGGAAGTTGCAATTCTTAAGAAGGTCTCGTAATATAGCTGACGTTTCGTGCACACAAAAACGTGTCAAACGACATTCCCAGATATTTCACATGAATGTTTTTCCTCTCTTTTGTTAACCCTTAGAGTTTGCAAGTGGTGCAGGCATTGGTGACATCTCCGGACATATCACGAACAGTTCAAGTCTAGCGCGCACCAAGCAGTTGCTGCAGCCACGTCAGCGGTCTTTCGCAGGAGCGCCCACCACAGAGTTTTCAATGATGGAGATTGCGGACATCAACTTTGAGTCGATGCGGTTACGCGGAGGCCTACCGCCAACGACATCTGGTGCTCCCAGACGAGAAGCCAACGTACCATTCCGAGAAGAAGTACCGACATTCCGCTGGAGGGCGGCCGTGGTGCGCAGGGACGTGGCCGTTACGACCAAGGCTCCCTGGGATGTTCGTGCAGGGGTAAGCGAGACTAGAAGTTCTATGCCCAACTTGGTGCGCAGATTCATTGGTAGGCGCCGATTGCCCGTCTACAGCTCGAGTTCGGAGCCTTCGAGCTCGCCAAGCATCACTAGTACTTGGGCGAGGAGCTCATCGTTTATGGAGGCCGTGAGCCCTGAAGCGGTGTCTACAGAAAGCAGTGCTTCAAACACGAACCTTCCAGAGATACAGATCTCCGCAAAGTCCTCAGCCATGTCCAGCCAAAGTCAAAGTAGTCAAGCAACTAAAGAAGAGGTCTCATCGATTGTTCCGGTGATATCGGTTCATCAGCGCTCAGCAGAAGAATCCGAGATTCTGCCTTTTGATCCTATTTTTGATTTGTTTGAACCGATATTTACGGAGACCCAGTTGGTTCCTAAGGAAGGTGTTTCCACCTCTTTACCGTTGTTGTCTGGGAATCATCTTGCAGTGGAAGAGATAGTAGGAACGCAGTCTGCGAATCTCTCCTCGCCCAAAATCGAGCGCCTGACATCATCACCTCTGAGGCCTGCATCATCGTCAACAAATCCCTCCACAGTCAAGCCACGTTTGGAAAATGATCAAATTGGCATAGGCCGTGTCGTACCCCTGTTCGAATTCGACGAACCTGTCCAAGGCTTGGATCCTGGTGGAAACAGCCGAACATTTACTACTTCTAATATAAAACCAATAGCCAGAAGAAGGGTTTCGACGGATCACGGAACAGCAGTAGAAATTATTAACATTTCATCTATGGTGTCGGAGGAAGAATATACTATGTTCACAAGCGTAGAAACGTGGCCAGTTTCCGTGAAGGTCCCTACCGCACAGGAAAAGAAGGACGTGTTTATCTCAAATAAAGGAGAGGTTGTGGGTCATAACAGAACCGGGATTGACAGCGGTATGCCGGGAAATGTAACAGCAGCTACGAAACAAAACAAAATAACATTCGACACTAAATCCTTGTCTTTGGACTTCTCTGATGATTCAGAACAGAAAAATCAAATGAATGTTGGGAGAAGAGAAATCAATGTTTCCGTCAGGGATGAAAGCTGCAAAACATCTGTACTCGGTGATTTAAAATCTGAAAATAACTGCAGTACTGCATTTTCTTCTGCTTCAAGTGAGGCTGTATTGATTCGAAATGATACGTTAAGCGGCAAAGGCGCACGGAGTAGTGACTTTGAGTTTGTAGGTTTCAACGTCACGACAGTTGCACTAGTTCGAAGGAGCAACGACATATCGAAGGGTGCCAGTGTCACGGTGTCATTGAATGGCGCCGCACTGAAAAGTAGAGATGTGTCGCCAAGAGGTACTGTGTTCACCATGGGCGCTGCACCAACAAACGGCACTTTATTCATCGGTAGCGCGAGAGGCAAGGCTGTATTGAAAGGTGCTTCAGCAAATTACATTGAATTAACAAACCTGACTGAATCAATAAATTACACAGTGTTTTCGAATGGTATGCTATCAACAAGTGAGTCCGCAGCGAAACGTGATGATGTCTCAATAAACGGTACCCCATTGACAAGTGGAGTTGTATCGTCAAACGGTACTCTATTGATGGGGGACGTGCTATCAACGCAGAACAGAGATTTAAATAGAGGTTTGGCACGAAGCAATGTAACAGTACCTTCAAAATATGTTGTACCAACAAATGGCACTGTGCATAAGGTCGATGTTATGCTGGCAAATGACACTATGCTCAAAGGAGACCTTGCAGCGTCACCAAAAAGCGGTACGGACTTGACGTATAGCACCGCGTATTACGAGGGTATAGAAAAAACGGTGTCCCCTGTATCCTCCGAAGATTCCAACGCCACCCAGGGTTTAACTGAAAACAGTATAGACGAACTAAAAACCCCACCTGCTGTGCCATCAAATTTTGAATTAGCAACAGGTACTGATGGAAAACGTCGAATCCCTGATGATTCAGTGGGCAGTCAAAATTACGCAAACCGAAAAGAGCTGGAAAATGGTACAATTCAATGGAGAAGTCATTCAAAGTTTTCTGATGAAGAGTTCACAACTATACAGGTTCTCAAGGGCAAACAGGACAGATACGAAGATAGTGAAGAACTCACAAAGAAAGCAAGACTTGAGAATATTGGGAGCTATAATGTTTCAGCTCCCGCCATCACAAGGCGAAAAGATGCAGCCCCAGTGATCACGACAGTAGCATACAGAAGCATTGTCTCCCAGAGTGGTCGGAGCAGCTTAATCCAGTCGGTAGTAGGGTCAACTCCAACAGTGAGGGGGCATGCAATCTACAATGGAAGCCATAATTATTCTGCAGAGGAGACGACGCTTGCAAATAGTTTCAATGTGAACGACAAACTGAACTACAGGGCTAGTTTTATGAGCCAAACCAGCTCCCTGCCTTCGAAAGCCGAGACATCAAGTACTGCGATGGCAACTACCATAATAAGTGTTGAGAAACACATAGCAGAGCGCCGGGGTCAAACCACAAGGCGTAGAAAATATCGCCGACGCTACCGGAAACGTACAGCCAGAATGCGTACGATGAAAACCGCCTCTACGAATGGAGGACATAATGAGTACGAAAAACAAACCCATGTCGCAGCACGACGTTTGACTAGAAAATCCAGCAGACGGAAACAAAACAAGAGGACAGCATCCTCTTCAAGAAGACTACTTGAGACAACACGGAGAACGATGTCCAAAGCAGTTGCCTCTAGTAATCGAACGGAAAGCTCAACAGTCACGAAAAATGGCACAAAGAACAAAATCCCATTTTCTGAGGTGGATATCACTTACCAGCCGAAGATAAAGGCTGTCGAAATCACTCATAGGCACAACTCACGTGAGACAACAGGATTAGTCACCTCAATTGATACAACTCCTGTTGCGCTAGCTGGGACCAACACTCCACTACATCGATCAAGTCTTAACAAAGAAGGGGAACAACCTATTGAAGACAATGATTCTGCCCTTGTGAACGCAAAATTTCAGCAGGCACCACTCAACGCTTGGCCGAGAAAAAACGAGGCATCGAGACTGCAGAAGGAGCATCCTGCTCACCGACGCAAGGAGAGGTCTCGAGTACTTCGGAGATTCGGCAATAGCGAAAGATATACGGTTACAACATCAAGGCAGTCTTCGTTGCAACAATCTACAGGTTTGCCTGTGTCATTCTCATCAAATGAAAACAGCACTTATCCCGAGAACACGTCCTCCCTATTTCCAACCTCTGTCCCTACTTCGATGCCACAAAAAAATGCCCCTGAGGCTCCAAGCCATGTACCCAGCTCAATTCTACAAAATAACAGCTTTGACGTTCCATCGTCTGCCTCTAATTTAGTCCTACAAAACAACTCATTTCAAGTTCCAACCTCTGTCTTTATTCCATTGCTACGAACAAACGCATTTGAACTTCTAACTTCTGCCTCTAGTTCAATGCTACAAAGGAACACGTTTGACTTTGCGAATGAAACTAACCCGGAAGCCATTGTTTTTGGAAATGACTTAACCAAAGTCTCACCGGGAGAAACCTCAAGTAATTTATCAAATGTCACTATCATCTCGCAGAATGTAACCAAGATGATTTTTACTCGGTACACTGCGCAAGATCGGAATTTTTCACTTTTTGTGCCTAAAGACGTGTCAGCATCGTTGCCTGCACGGACAACAGAAAATGCGCTAAGTGGAGGGCTAAGCATAGCGGCATCAGAAGCAAATATAAACTTCAACGGCTTGTCCATTGGCACTCCAAGCAGGCCAACTTTCCATCACGCTGCTTTGATGTCTGTCGAGGATGCAGCGAATGCTGTTCATTGCACAAATGCCGACTGCATTGAAGAAGGTTAGTTGCGATAACACATATTCTTGTCGATATTATTGTTGACCTTGCTTTGAATGCAGGACAGCGGCTCCGTGCGCATGTTGACTGGACCTATAAACCGTGTGCCAGCTTTTACGACTATTCGTGTGGTGGTTGGATCCGCACTCACCCATTCCCTTCAAACAGAAAAAAGTTATCCGTCGATGACTTGATTGTGGAAATAGCTGAACAAAAGACAATGGAGTTCCTCTACGGTGAGAAACACTCTATGATTATAACTTCTCTTTCTCTGTAAGATGAATTCATCTAGAGACGCTTTTATTTATTTCAGAAAACGTACAGCATATTGCTTCGTACACGGATCCCTTGCTTCATAACGCCATAAGGTTGTTTCAAGGTTGTAGTGACAAAAGTGAGGGTTGCGAATGTTTGAATTGCCTCACCGTATAAACGGCATTCAATGAAGCGTCATCTAAAGTGGATATTTCTGTACAGGCTCCTTAATGAAGAACCCAGCTTTGAGCATTCAGGCAGCTCTAGATGAGATCCACCTATCGGAATGGCCATACGACGAAGAACCCCTTGACCTCGAGATTCCGGAAGTTCTTGCGTTAGCCGCGCGCAAACTTGGCGTCCATCCCTTCTTCGTTTCCTCGCTCGAGGTGGACACGACCACTTCCTCTGGATGGATATTTGTGGTACGTGCCTACCTCAGCGGCGTATCATTCACCTTCTATTTTCCCGCTATCATTCTTGACACGAAATTGTATAGTGTCTGCGAGTGTGTGCGTTGTGCTCTTTCGCTTAGTTTAAGGAACCCAGGACGGTGATTCCAGGAGACGCTTACCTCTTCGAAGATTTCCCTGTGAAGTACCAGAAGCTCGTGACCAAGGCCATGTCCTTTGTGAACAGCGACAAAAACATCCAGGCGATGTCCGAGCCAGTTGTGGAGGTCGACCACGAAGTGTTCAGGGTGCGTTTCGACAAAATCATTTGAGTGTTCAGCCTTTACTAAATCTTGTTTTTTATAGATCTTGGAAAAGACCAAACGTGTAACAGATTACACTGTCGAGTACTACAGGAAAAAGTTGGCCCAGGTCAACAAGAAGAAAGATGTTAGTATTCATAACTTCTGTAACGCGCGTAGCGTGTCTAAGGGGCATATTCTTGTACCCGTACAGTTCGACATGGGGCTCTTCCTAACTTCTCTAATGAGTGACATCACCGTCCTGGATTCAGACACAGAGTTTGTTGAGGCTGCTCCAAACCTTCTACAGCACGTGCAGAACCTGACAGCTTCGTTCAACAAGTAAGGCCGTTTGTTTCCTCGGGCAATGTTGGCGGTGATGAGCTCCGTATACCGCTCTCGCCGAGGAATAGTCGCAGGCCGTGAGCTCACAATCACCACATAGATACCCAATTTTTCGGTTCACCTGCTCTAAGATGTCGAGAGGTTGACACGTATTGCCCGTACATGATACTGATAGAGCACTGCGTGAACATTCAGTTTGACTGTTTTATCCACTCAATGAAAATAAGGTAGTCAAATACGTTGACGAATTATGGTGGGTAAACGACAGTGCTCAGTCCTTCCGAAACCAATAGTGTTGCTTGTTCACACGCAACTGAGACGTCACATCACAAACGTGCCGAGTGAGACATGTGTCAGCGTTTGTCAGGCGTGGTCCAGTCAGTACGCCAGAAGCACTGATCGCAAGGACCGCTCACACAACATAACGTGGTTTCATTTACAAATGAAGGGCGTGAAAAAACCTATACTTTCTTTCGCATTCGACGCTACGAGCTAATGGGACCAATCAAGCAGCGTCCAAAGCGCAATTCACTGGGCCTTTTTTTGTTTATGATTGGTTCAGTGATGACAGAATATGTTCAGAAACATGACGCTTACCATGATGGTAAGCTTTTGACTCTGTCTGATCGATCCCATCAGCTCGTACCGTCGACTGCGTCTGGACTCAAGGTGAAAGGAAGTAGAGTCGCATTGATGGCTATACTCACTTTCACTCAGACTAGCACACGTTGCTAAAAAAGGTAAAGAATTATATTTACAATTACTCAAGGCTAAATTGTAATTAATTACAAGTACAATTACCTTTCTATAAAAGTAAGTGACCGTTGTAATCCGTTACTTTCGTGGCGTTACTTCCAGCATTACTGTCTTCAAGTGAAATACAAAGGGAAGAGGGTTATTCAGGCGTTTTTTGTTGCCACCAGTCCCCATGATTGACCTTGAGTATTTTTAGCAACACCTGACTCTCGAAAGTCTGACTAGTCATCTTGCCTGATTTCTTCGTGAAGATGTTGACTGTAACGCTGAACAAACACCCTTTCAACTAAGGATGGGAGCACTACCATATTGCTCCTCACGAATGCTTGATGCAGTGCGTTGTGCTTCTCCAGCGAAAGCGATGGAAGTGCTTTTTACCCCGAAGAAAGAGCAGAGCCTCGTCGTTGCCGCGGTGCCTGATATAGTCAAAATCGGGGAACAGTAGAAGTTTCGCGATTTTGGTACAGCTGGCCAAACCTGGAATAAGAATTGATTTATGTACATCTAACTATACCGGCCAATATTGCCAAACGGTAGAAAACGGAGTTATTAAGACAGGGTATCGTTACACGTGACAATAAAATAATAAATATGGTTTCGATTTACATTCTTCCTTTGACTGTGAACAGGTCGAGCCTCGATTGAGTCGTTGGTGAACAAGACAATAAAACTTTTTCGATAGAGTCATAAGTTATAAGGAAATAAAAACACCGGGTACACTCCCAGAAACAATGAATTAAAACGGCTGGCTAAACTGGCTAAACCTGGAATAAGGTACTATTTTCTGAATAAAGTGTTTCGTGAACGTACAGGCATTCATGGGACCATCTACTTAAAACCCTCTATTTTTACTTCCCAGAGATTAGATTAAGCGAAAGAAATACGAGAAATAGCATGCTGCACATCTGTTTCTCGCCATCGTCATTTTTCCCACGAACAATAAGTTAGTGGAATAAACTCCCCGAAGCTGTGGTTTCGGCTTCTGATGAAAGTTTTGATTGTCTTCTAAGTCGTTACTTACACGAGAATGAACCACGACTAATGTATTGTTGTGCACTGTGCTGATGTTAGCAGCTTATAGTAGATGCTTGTAGGTTGTGTTAATTTTTTTTTTTTGTGATTTCGCATTGTAATATTTGTAGGAGATGGTCAGCAAGTATTGATATTTTTTGCATTTCCATTTGTGTATTTGTTGTGTTTATATGTAAGTTACCCCCTACGATAATGTCCCCTGGGCGAAATGTAGGTAACGAATAAATAAATAATAATTGATTTATGTACATCTAACTATACCGGCAAATATTGCCGAGCGGTAGAATACGGAGTTAGCAAGAGAGGGTATAGTTACACGTGACAATTGCATAATAAATAATGTTTCGATTTATCTTCTTCCTTTGACTGTGAACAGGTCGAGCCTCGGTTGAGTCGCTGGTGAACAAGATAATACATTGTTTTTCGATATAAATATAAGTTATAAGGAAATGAAAACACTAAGTACACTCCCCAAAACAATTAATTAAAACATCGGTTATAACAAAGCAATGTTAACGCAGGTTTGCGTACGTGTACCTTTCTTGGTGCCGTTCAACATGCAGAGCACGGGCCGGCAGTAGTGTACTCCAGTGTACTCTCAAGATAGACGTCCGCTGTGGCCACGGGCAGCGAAGAGCGGAGAGCTAAGCCCCACTCACGAGTTTAACTCGCTCCTCAAGCACAAAGTCACTAACTACGTCAGCTTCTTTTTTTTTTTTTAGTAAACGTTTGTATTTGATATATGAAATTTCCTGCTGGGTAAAAACAGGAAAACGAAAAAAAAAAACGATCACCATTCCACTTTTCGAAGTTCTGGCAAAGAGCTGACAAACAAAGAGGGTGCCAGAGATGCCGATAGCCTAGCTAGAATTCACAAATAAAGTAAGCCAGCCCTAAAAGTTGGACTGAAAAAAATAGTAGCTATTAAAACTTAGTTTAATAACATGAAAAGAAGCTAAAAAATACATCTTGTTCTCTAAGAGATCTCGGGAAGCGTTAAAATACCTTTTGCGGAGCAACGAACGAGGATGCTGGTTGCTAGAACACCTTCTATTATTATCACACCGCGTTAGTGGACTTTAGGACAGACGAAGCGTCCTCTCCTGTTGTAACATTATGAGAATGGTCATATCCACTATAAACGAGTTGGACATTGTTAATTGTTGTCTGTGCACTTATGCCTCGAGCTTCTCGAAGAGGCTCACAAACACTTGGTGGCCTCCTCTCCCCGTCTTCGATTGCAAAGAAGAAAAAAAGGGGAGAGGACCAAAAAAAAAATATGTTCAAGGTTGTAGTGTTGTAAAGAAATGCTCTGTGCTTTTGCGCTGGTCACCAATATGCGTTACACCAGTCGACTTTACCAAAATGAAAAATATTATTTTTTTCTCTCCAAGATGTGTGTGTGCGTTTGTGTAGGGGGGGGGGGGGGGGGTCCTTGGTTAAAAATGTAACGAATTACAAGGAATCCGTTACGTAAATAGATGAGAAAATTATTTTAAAATTACTTTAGCATATATTTAATTATTTCGTTACAAAATTACAAATAAATAGAAGAAATTACAAGTAACTTCGTTACTAGTAACGGATTACGTACAAGTCTGCTTTAACTTAAAGTGGCAGTCCCATGGCAGCAGAAATAATGCTGGTGGTGGCTGTGCTTAGGCACATGTTCGCGGTACAAATGTCGCGTTTATGTGTGAGTAAAGCAATTCGTCTTATTCGTAAATGAATGGCTCATTCATCTTTAATACATTATTGTAGAACGTGATATCTATCTCTGCAAACGTAACTGGCAATGAAAGAATAAAAGTGGCAAGTTTTGATATTTTCGAAGACATATGCCTCTACGAAATCTAGGTTTCTAGGTCTGTAATGCAACGAAGTCGCGTTCTGAGTTTAATAATATATAGATGAAGGAAACACGCAGTCTCGTGTTTCCGTGTTTTTTTTTTTTTTTTTTTTTTTCGAATTAGTGCACGCGTATTTTTTTCTCATTTATTTGAAAAGTGTCTTTTTATACAAATTGAAAGTGTCATAACTCAGGGTGGCCTTCTAATTGGGCAACAAACCTTGAGGGCTTACCTTTTGATGAACCTAGAAAACTAGCATAAAATATATGAGAAGCGCAGCTGTAGCCGTTTACTCGTAAACTCTGACTTAAAATGCTTAAATGTCAATATTTCATTCTAGGATATCTAAGTTTTCTTGGATAGCAGTTTAGTGGCTGTTCTGACACTTTTTAAAGGGACCATGAAATGACCTTTTTATTTGTGCAAAAATAACTTTTATATTACACATTCAATGAATGTTCACTGAACGCCGAACAGGCATACGTTTTTGTTTCAGTTTATTAATTTCTATACACAAAAAAAAATTGAAATATCAAGTTTATCTTTCTCTCCAACTCACCGTAAAACAAGCCGCGGCCTAATTTTGAAGATCGTGACGTACTATGGCACCGGGCAGTAGGAGAATGAGAAAGTTAACGGCGAGGCTGGCGGTGTGCCTGCAGGTTTTACGACTCATAGCAAATGCACGAAGACCATCGTGACGATGCACTTTTGGTACCGTTTGATTGGCTCCGATCATAGCGTCGACTGCAGCTGGTCTCAAAAGCGAAACAAAGTTTCCCACCAGAGAAACCCGTGGGGAACGAAAACGTGAATAGCCCAACGTTGTTGAACCTCTTGGCGAGATATATATTACTAATTTAAGTTTTTGCGCATTTCATCTGCCGCCGGCGGTCGTACTTGTCATTGTCGGTGGCTGTATATATTGTCAGCTTTAATTGGTGACGAATGACCGTCATGCACGAAGCTAATAGGGCAGTGACTAACCTGTAAGTAACTTCATATTATGCTATGCATTGTGAGTTCCGTCGGTACGTATATGCATAATTTTATTTTGCATTTCTGGTGTCAGATGATAATCTTATCGCCCTCGTTTTCGTACCGCCAGCCTTGTGCCAGTTGCGCGAGTGGTAACTTTAGCGTACCATCGTGCTCCCCACGTAATTGAAGGCTTTCTAAAATTTACTAATTTATCTGTTTTCGATTACGTCAGCAAGTGTTCAATTGGTTATTTCCACTAATTAAGTTAATCGACACTTTTTAGTTATTTATTACACTTATTGTGACGATCAGCCCATTTAATTACGTATCCCTGACCGTAGCTCATCTGCACAGACCGCATTATATGTACATCCCACGTTTTTTTTATTTTTGTTTTTAATAACTGTTTGAACCAAAAGCAATCAAGCAGTGCCAAAAAGCGCTCATATTGCATTTGGGCTAAGTGTCGCGCGGAATGCATTCTTGCTTCAGAAATTAAGATTCAACTCGCCGTACCCAATAAACATCGTTGACCTGGAAGAGGAGTATTGTCAAAAAAGGTCTATAAGCTTGGCACGTGCTTGTGGCTTAAGAAGGCACATGCGCAAAGATTCGTTTTTTTTTTTTGTTTTTTTTTTTTAATAACGCAGCATTTGTTTATGCGCCATTTACAGATCGAGTCATTGTTTTGGTGTGGGTTCGGAAACATAAGTTGGTATGTATAGACATGTACGCTCGAAGATTAGACACCTAAATTGACCGTTTTTCCAGTTGCTCAGACCGTCTTGATCAGGTTAATATCATTTGCCACCCAGGATTGCTGTTCTAAACTACGTTGGCTTCCGAGCGCTGTTGTCGCTGTCCCCCTTGTTGCCCCACAACGACGGCCGGGACTTAGCACACCTCTTGTACGTCCGTGAAATCCCAACGCGCACGTCTTCCAAACGATGGAAGTTCTGCATTCGGTTGCTGGAGAACGTGTACAAACTGCCGCTATTGCAGCTTCAGGCCGAATCGTTCGAGAAGAAAGACACCTTTCAGACGGTGAGTGCCCGGACTACGGCGCAAACTGGCCCTAATCGAGCGGTTATCCACATGCTTCTGCAGATCAACAGAACTGTGGAGCTCCTCAAGAAGTACTTCTTCAGGCAGATCCGAAATTCAAGCCACTTTGGACACGATACAAAAGATATAGTTATCAACAAGGTACGTGCCAGTTTGGCCACGTTGACCGCGTCCAGAGCAGAACAGCGGAGAGAGACTGAAGGGAGAAGGAGAACGACATATTTCAGTGATGAATCTCTAATAGAATGAATCTTCATGTTTGCTTAGAGCTGACAGAACCGTCGCTGTCGAATGCACTGACTCTATTATTCTATTTAGATTACATGTTCAACTTATATAATACGAAGTTAAAGCCACCCGTTGCTATATGTCAAAAATAAACAAGAATGACACGCTGTTTAATTTACTGAAATTACCTTCGAGTAATGACTTCACGAGTACAGGAAAAGTCGGTTGAATGGTCACCCGGCAGAACTAGAAAAATACCTGCGCGTCTGCTTTCTCGCAGGACACACGTGTTACAGCCAATGACTGCGACCTGAGGTGTGCTTTCAACCAAGTTTGACGTCAAAAACTGACGCTTCACTTGCCAGTTGTTCCAGAGCAAATCTTGTTTCCGAGTCAAACCTTTCCTGTTCGTGTCTCATGATTCGTAGAACAAGCTTCCTGAATTGCAGTGTTGCACTAAGGCTAATAATATACTCGAAGGCAATTTTAGAGAATGCAGCCAGTGACGGGTTGACATGAAACAACCACGACTGTAAACCGTTCTAATAAAGGGCTTCTAGCCGGTGCCTGTTTCAGCGTTAGGGCATATAGCGCACGCGTTGCTCGCTTTCCAGGGCAACGAACATGCACGTGATGGGCTGTGGATTTGTAAACGTCGGAATGATGTAGTAAGAGCCATTTATACTGAGAGAGTTTGGAGAAGGGGTGGAGCCTATGATTTGCTAAATCTCGCTAGAGCAAGCCGACCTCGCGATGACACAAGATAAGGATTCGTGTTCGTTTGGCCACTCCTCTGAGCGAGTCCACTTTAATTCGCGGTTACAAGTAGCGTTATAAAAGCATTTCTCCTGGATCGGTATTCTGTTACGCCTAATTGATCACTGCAATCAAAGACCGCTACATTTTATTTGATGTCCGATATCAAAACTTACAAATAAACTTTTTTCTGTTTGTCATCAAGCAAAAATATGCTTTGTCAAACGAATACCGTCGGGCAATTTAGAGCACGGGTTCACAATTCCTTCGTGGCAAGCGCTTTCCGGGCTGTTGAATCGCGGCTTTGGTGGGAATATAGAAAAGTAATTTTCTAGACTGTAAAAGGGGATGAAAGGGTAATATTTTGGAACATTATTGCAGATAAGGAGGTGTGAGCAATTGATTACGTCGAAAAAGCTAAAGGCGCTTACGTTAACGAAAGACCCTTTCACTCTTAAAAAAAGCCCGTGCATCTACTTTCCCGCACAACACTCGGAGAGTCAATCACCACAACTTACGGAGGCTGCTCAGCGAATGACGATGCCGAAACACATGTTTAGACCAAAGCACGCAGTCTGAGTTGTGACATTAAGCAATGCAAAACGTCACGCTTGCATTGGTTAATGTCACAACTCGGACTGTGGTTTTTGGTCTAAACATATGCTTCGGCGTCGTCATTTGCTGAGCTGTCTCCGTAAGTTGCGGTGATTGGCTCTCGGAGTGTTTTGCGGGAAAGTAGGCGCACGGGCTTTTTTTAAAGTGTTCAGTGCGATGACACGATGGGACGCGTTACTGCAGACATGGGGTGGACAATCTAATGTGGGTCATGAATTAGTAACAAATTATGGCGGGGGAAGAATTTGGTTGTCAGATCTCTTGTCGTGGTTGCTAAATTGTTGGAATGATTAAAAGAATATGAACTTTCCCATTACAAACGGCTCTGGATGTAGTATAGCATGTTTGGTAGCGTTTGATCTCAACCGCTATGGCTTGGCTGGCGCTCATATGGTCATTACTAGAACGCTGGAGATGTGGGCCTAGTGACCTATCCCCTGCCGAGAGCTGAGATACCGAAGGTGTGAAATGTGCGTGCTTGAAGCTCGCTGCCCGTACGAATCCGCAGCAACGCACTAAGCTTACTCTAAAAAAAGTATGTGCGTCTACTTTCCCGCACAACACTCGTAGAGCCAATCAGCGCAACTTACGGAGGCAGCTCAGCGAATGACGATGCCGAAACATCTGTTTAGACCAAAAACGCAGACAATGCAAGCGTGACGTTTTGCATGGCTTGATGTCACAACTCAGATTGCGTTTCTTTGGTCTTAACATATGTTTCCGCATCGTCATTCGCTGAGCTGCTTCCGTAAGTTGCGCTGATTGGTTCTCCTAGTGTTGTGCGTGAAAGTAGACGCACAGACTTTTTTTAGAGTGCTCTCGGGGGTATTTACTGGCCGTCATATTTCAATTAGTTTCGCGCAGCGTATGCTCAAAAGTATAGCTGTCATCTATTGGCTGCCAAGGACAAGGGTCCTTATCGGGTGGCATACACGTTGAACGTGCATTAACGTGCATTACCCACAATAAAGATACCTATTTTTTGGAGACAATAACTGGGAGCTGGTTCTCAGCACGCGTTGCAAACAACGACCTCAAATATGGCGTCCATCGAATACCCTTCACGGGGTCCTGTGATTGCAAATTAGTAGCTGATATAGCGATCGAATCCTGCGTGTCTAATGCCTTTGTCTAGTGGGCTTTCGGTAGTGTTCCGGGCATATACAATATACCTTCCTTCCTGAGGTGCAGAGAAAGCGCGCCGCAAGCCCTGCTTACACTGACGCTTAGAAGAGTGACGTGGTCGTTTTAGTCATATGGTCACTATCTCGGCAGCGTGTCCTTGATGGGTGCGCCGACTCTTCTCACTCTTCTATGCGTAATTGTGGGCAGAGCTTGCGGCACTCTTTTTGCGCGCCATTTCTAAATCGGGCTAAGAAACGTGAACATTTATCAATTAATATCTCAAAAACCGTTGCATTTTTTTTTTCAAATTATTTCACTTGGCCTGGCCTCTAATTGTAATTGCCGTCAATGCCGCAATGGTAACATGACCCCCCAAAATATTAAAAAGTGAATGAACAGGTTTTAGTTAATTAGTCAACTTACCATAACGATTATTCCCTCACATATTGTCAGACGAGCTTGATATATTTTTTTTTATTTATAAATAATAAAAGACAAAAAAATTTGTTTTCATTTAAATGGAACACCCTGTGTATATGTAGCATGGACGCCTGACTAATTCAGTAGCTGTATACATGTGCTCGGGAAAAAGGTCACGTGACCCAGTAAAAATTACTGAGAAGACAAATGTGTCGTTCGACGAACACAGCCATGTATTTTTGTGTTCCATGTCTCCTTCGCCTCCAGTTGCGCTTGCTGAAAATGGAATGCTTCAACAGTCATCACATCTCCAACCATGAAGCACGGGAGAGGCATTACCATGGGGTACAGTAATATATTGAGAAGGTTTTCAAGCATCGCAGGAACCTTATTAATATGACTTCCATCTTTTGTTCCTTAGGTTCCCGATATCGATCCGTCAAATGTCCTATCCGATTATACGCAGACACTAATTGTCGTGCTACAAAACTACTGGAGTTCCTACGGCGGCACGGGAAGCCTCTTCAGGCGAGTGCTGCGAGGGTGTTCGCTTGCTTCCCTTTAGTAAGTGTCCGCTAACTTAAGAAATGCAAACCGTGGTCAAAGTTTTTAATCTCCTTTCCTTCGCATTATGGCCACGCTGGTTTTGCTGCTTAACAGTAATGTCTTACGGAGGCAATGTTTATTATGCCGCTGTATTGTGGACACAAACAAGCTGGCTGAAGTTGACCGATGCATGTTGTTTTTTTCGAGACAGAGGGACATGACATGAAAGTTTCGGGTGAAACCATGCATAAAGAAGGATATACGTCTTGACAGCCGATTAGGGAGCTTTACGAAATGAGACCAGCGAACTGAGCCTCTCAAGTAGGAGAAAACAAGCAAACTTGTTTATTTTTTTTATTTAGCTACACAATTTAGCCGATTGCTACTCGAGCGCACCAAAAGCGTCACCGTAACATCGCAGTGACGTTAAGTGATCTTAAAGCGTCCGACTACTCACCGTCAGCGACTTATTCATACTATTCATTAATGATTAGCCATTCTAGCTTCTACTATAATAATTGTTTTGCAGCTATATTATATTACCCTCCTCTCCGTGAGCTTCGTAAAAATGTAAGAGTAGTGGCAGTGCCGTATTTAGTTTTATATTTGCTTAACAACGAAAGAAAATAAAAAAACAACGAGAGCTTCGTGTTATAGACGCCAATCGTGTGACATGGCGTGGCTTTACGAGGCTTGCGTGCACAGATTCAGGCCTATATTTGAAGCGATCGCGAGCGGACACGCACTTCGTTGCTCTAAATTGTTCCCGACCATTCTAATCGATGCCTACGTCTGGCAGGTGGCACGGATCCATCTTCGACACCGAAGCCACCTACGACCACTTTGATAACACTCTGTGTAAGTATGCTCTTCTGCCACAGGCGAACGCTAACGGACTGCAGCCTCGTACTTGAACTATTCCAGTGCTTGCAACGTGTCTCTGTGTGTTTTGCGTCCTATCCCAGCCATATATCAACAGTGGTCCCAAAGTGACAACAAATGAAGTCACAGAGGCTGGAGTGTCATGTTTTCGGATATCGTGATCCTGGCGCTTGGTGCCGGAAGTTTCGGTAGAATACTAGCGAAAGCGATTGTAGCTATCATCGCAGCATCACAGATATTGACTGCCGAAGCTTCCGTGGATTGTCAAGCTGGAGGGCGACCTGCAGCAAAACAGAGGCTTGCCACATCCACCACCGCTGCTCTGACATCGCCCGGATTGCGGTCGGCGACAGCATGACACTTCGAGGACGTCGTCAGGCAGAAATCGAGGGACCATTTTTTGGACCCAATAACGACAGCATGTCGGAGACGCGTTCCAGGCAGCGTGCTATAACGTAACGTCGACGAGCGTCCACGTGCTCTGGGCGTCGGATAGCTTCGACACGCTTCGCCTGAGTGAGCCATGCCGTGGCTTGATGGCCGTGTCTTGACTGATCGCTTCGGATCTTTCGTTCAATTAGGTACTGTCCTCGTCGATTGCCGGCAGGTGGCGACAGTTGCCCAGTGACGTTTCGTGTTGCCACCTTTTTTCTAGTGGGCAGTGGAACACGGTTTGAGCATGCGCACACGCTCTCTTCTGCTGAATATCAGACGCCGCGCATGCGTCTACAGCCCAGTGACTTGACATTTTTCGCCCAGGTGGTGCTACCGCCAAGCTGGTGCACGCTGGGACGCACATGAGCCAAAAATGGCGGAGCGTCGCCACCGATCTAGTTTGGCACGGCGGCGCGGCGCCAGCGTCTACAGTAGACCAATAGGAGCGAGCTCGCAAACGGCGGCGCGTCACCGGCAGCCACAACAGACCAATAGGAGCGTGCGCGCCTGGATGTGGGATGCGCCATGAGCCAAAAATGGCGACGCGTCGCCGGCATCCAATAGGAGTGCCGGCGGCACGATCGAACAATGGCGGTACCTGGATAAGTCAGGATATGCAGCGCGTTAGGTGGTACGGAAAAGGTGCATGGACCGCCTTTTACACTCGTTCTTTCAGACATTCCTATGGCTGTATTCATGGAAGACGTCAAGTACAACACTTTCCATTCGTAAGCCTCGGTGGTTCATTTGTCTTCTTTTGCTCTACGATGCATAGTGGCTGTGGCAATAGCGCTTCCCATGATTACGTCGCTTCTGAGTTGGGAAGTGGTTTGTAAGCGGTAGCATATTTTCTCAGCGAATAATGTAGCCACATTGAAGCGAGTCTCACTCAGGAGCCGAGGAAATGTTGTGTCATCGCTAGCTAACTATGCAGGTTGTTTCCCGAAACGGTATAGCGAAAAGTACATATCTCACCGAATAAAGGTGGATGTCCTATTAATATCTGCCAATAGCACATCGAATGACGCTGTTCGGTCGGTCGTTCCGAACTGACCCCTGTAAACGAAGTATTTTGCGGGCACCCAAGGGAATTCTATAGATTCACTCATCTTGAAGCGATGCTGACGATGCTTCACGGGAAGGGAAATCGGTTTTCGACCACTATGAGTCTGGTGAAAGTCGCGATATGCAGTGGGTGTTGTGTAAGATTGGATATACGCCGGGAGGAGTTTGAAAACAAATGATAGGGATAACTCACATAAATAATTTAAAATAAGCATTTATTGCGTGCCCGGTCATATAGACCTTTCCAGCGCTTATTATTCGGGCAAAAAACACTGAGTCACTGAGCTGTGGACCCATGCGAAGCGTCTGATATGCCGCACAACAGAGCTACAGCTCATGCTCAGTTGGCTTTCCACCGCCCAGCAGACAAAGATGGCAGCGCACAAAAGGTGAGTTTTGGAAAGGTCTATATCAGGGGTGGCCAGAGTGACATGGGGTTAAAGCCGCAGGCGAAACAACAGAAATTCAGAGAACCGCAGGAAAAAAAAAGGGGGGGGGGGGGGGGAGAGAGGGTTTAACAAAAAACGATATGAAGGTAACAATCTTCTCCAAAGGGGACACGTATAATGGTCGACTACAACAAAATAAAACGAGACAGCAGAACGTTTCTTCAACCGCTTAGCAAAAATGAATTCATGGTTCGCTATATCGATTGCCCCTGACGCCCTTTATGCATATACGGTTCGAAATCCTTTCTAGAACAATAAAGGAAACAGAGTCACAAGCCACATCTATGCGTCAAAAGGCAGTCCAGCTGTGCGCACGTAGTGTAGTATAAGTCTGCCAAGTCTGAGCTTTTTTTTTTTTTTTTTTTTTTTGTTAATTCTAGATTCGTCGTTTTGGGGATACAGGAGGGGAAGGGGGACACGCTTACCAGGGAGCCGAGAGTCGCACGTGGACCCGCGAAGAGCGGCATGCGGCTCGCGAGCCGCAGTTTAGCCACCCCTGGTCTATATGGTCAGCAGAAGGAAATTAAAAAAAATATTGACCGATTATTGCGCCGAGGGGTTCCGGCATAAACATACAAATAAAAACATCTGTGTCATTTAGCAGGTGCTTTTGGATTCTCGATTGGTAAGGCATGAAAATAAAAATAAAATGGCAGAACGGTGACAGATATAGTACGTTTCCCGATGTAGATCTATCTGTACAGCAGGGTAGTTTATTGACCAAATCCCAGTTGCCTATACTTCGTTTCAGCTTCGGTCCGAGCGCGGCCGATGTTATGAGCCGAAGGGCCAATCAAACAGCGGAAGATGCACAACGTCATGGCGTACTCTCGGCAGTTGATAGGACCAGCCTGTATTCGCCGTCTCTCTGTGCGTGCCTCTCCGCCGGTTAGTCCTATCAAGTGCAGAAAGCACGCCATGACGTTGCGCTCTTTACGCTGTTTGATTGGCCCTTTGGCTCATAACATCGGCCGCGCTCGGACCGAAGCTGAAACGAAGTATAGTCGGTTAAGTTATCCAGATTAAAAAAAAAAAAAAGGTATCGTAGCTCAAGTCCACCTCGGTGTATATTTTAACACTTAATGTGTTTATGGGCTGGATTTCGTTCGGAAAACGTTACGATCGAGCGCAACGCAAAAGCGTTACACGCAAGCCAAGCAGCATAGGCCATACGCAGCCGATAGCAGACAATGCATAAGCATCCAAAAAGAAGGCATTCTTAGTGATGATTAATCGTGCGTACGCATAATTAGGAGTTATTAATTACGACTAGCCAGATTTACTAAGCTTCTGCTCGGCGCGGCCGCCGAAAGGAACGCTATGGCATTTAAAATAGCTATCTCATGTGAAATATAATGAACAGTGTGCGCTGTGCTACTGACCAACACGCTTTACATGTTCACGTCACGCTCAGTGACGCAGCGCAGACATCCTACAGCGTACGGCGATGGTGAAGTATTCTTGCTCGAGTAAAAAGCCCAGCTAAAAACGAAACAAAACTACTTTGGTTATTTCTGACAAAATTCTTGTACGTATATAGAATACGTTCTATAGGGTCGTGAACGTCGATGCGAATTGTGTTTATACCAAGGATTGTAGACTCACGCTACATCACGTAACATATGGTCACGCGTTCTCGCGTCGCCTTTTTGAGTTAATCTTTTCCGCCATGGCCTTCATTATAGTGTATTCTACGTCATAAAAAAAAAAAAAAAAAACAATAAAAAATATTGTATCGACAGTTTCGGCAGTTCAAATATTTTTTGATATTTGTTTGTAGTTTAACACATTTAGACTGTTAAGCTAAGTAGTCCAATGGTTAAACTAAATAGCTTAACCGACCTCAGTGCTCAGGTCGGCACCGTTCAGATGAGAGCCACGCTCTTGACAGCTCATCTTCCTCTTTGTCTCTGCTTATAGGCCGTTGTACTTTCCACGGAGTGGTCGTCGCATTATGGAAGCCCTCTACACTATGATTGAGAGAGACGGTGCGTTGATTGTCACTGATGTTCGTACCAATTTCTTTGGGGGTGCGAGGGAGGGGGAACCATGTAATATAATACTATAATCTCTGCTAACTTGATTCAAAACCATCAGATGTAGGCTGTGTGTGTGCACAAATTGCGCATAATATGAATCACTCGCAGATCTAAAAAAAAAGACATATTTAGGAAACTCTGCGCTTAGGAACTATTTGGTGCTGACAGGACTAAGGACGCTTTCATTGAAAGAAAGGGAACCGTTCTATGGGGATGAGAGCAACAACTCTAAACCTTTTTTGAGCGCTATTTTATCTTACGGGGCTTGCCGTGGGCAGATCATATTAATCGACGGAGCTCGTCCAAAGGTTGACGGGGCCGGAACAACGGTTTGTTTGCAAAACAAAGCTACGCAGCGACAATGAGATTGATGTTTCTGCCAGACGGCGTTCTCAATTAAATTCATTTTCGGCACCACATAATTCGTTGGACGTGGTCCGTAAGTCGCCGTGATTGGCCTACCACATGCACTGCGCGAAAAGATGCTCAGGCGTCTTTTCTAGAGTGAACATGCAGTCGTTACGATGACTCATCCCTACTTGTGTTCTTTCAACGTTGCATGGTGTGCATGGCCATATTAGAGCGCGCGTTGGGCGTTTCCTTACTCAGTGAATAGGCGTAGAACAGGAACCTGGCCTAATTAGACCTTGGCTCTAAAATATCACTCTAAAATTAACTCCTCTTTCTTTTTTTTTTTTTTTTGCGGCCATTTGCTTTAACAATGGTACACAAGCTTCCGACACCTTACGACCGGACAAGCTGAAACCGGTTTTTAAGCCTCCTGTGTCTGCTGAGGACAGTCGGTGCAGCGGTCGTAAGCAGTCGTAAGTGTGTGGAACAGCTTTCAAGTGTGCTAAAATTATCGTAATCGACGTCTCATGATTATAAATGAAAACAATACTCTAATAAAGCGTGTTAAGGGGGCTTATCTATCGTATGCTTGTTGCCGCAGCGTCATTCTTCGGCCGTAACAACGAGGTGACAGCAAGCTCCTATTGGGATTACGTGACGTTGAATGGCTACCTGTCGCTGCGCCGCTGCCTCAAGAAACAATTCCAGAAAAAGACCCCTTCTCGTTTTCCTTCGAGCCTGATGAACGTGAGGATCCTTTTGCTCTGCGCGTGTCATCAGCACAGTGACTGCTACGTTGCGCGCAAAGCGAGCGAGCGTGCAGTCGGGCGAAGTTGTCAGTTATTCGTCGCATAATTTGCTCCTTGGAGTTCAGCCTTAACGTTGGTTTAACAGAGACTAAAGGGAAACAAGAGACAAAGCGCTGAACCATTCTTTGAAACTGAAACACTCAAACTGCCGCGACCAAAGTTCCATTAGCCGTGCGTCCTATTTTTGATGATTTCTTAGTGCCTTTTCCGCTTCAGCCGTGTCTCGGTGTCATTGGAACTGAAGCTGGGAGAGCGCTCAGGGCTCGCCGAAAGTAAGCGGCGCGGCTAACAAGTTTTGTGACTACATTCAAAAAAAAAAAAAAAAGTTAAAGAAAAAAGAACGGAAATTGCGGTGAAGGAATGAGGACGAACCTTGAAGGTTTCGTCCTCATATAGAGAGTTATAAAATTTAAAGCGGGAGATAGGGAGCTGTCTCACTCAGCCTGTTGTTTTAATCCGTATTTCTTAGAAAAACAATACGAATATCAAGGAACGGCTTTTGTTTACCGAATCTGCACGCAATTTAAAAAAAGAAACGTCTTGGCTTACCCAAGCCGATGGCCAAGGGTACAAAAATGCAAATTCAACTTAGAATAATCCACAATAAACATCTGGAATCTCATCAGTGCACTAAAAGTCGCCAAAACTTAACTACCTCAAACCAAATGGTTGAAACTCCCGAAAACATGAAACTTAAAGAAAAAAAGTTTTCTTCTCTGGGTTTTCCATCGATAAGACAAAAGTCAGTTCTTTGTCTGTATTTTTTTTTTTTTTTGAGATCTGAAACTTTGTTTTAGCGCTGATCCTAACCTTGAACTTTCCCAAAGTTTCAAAAGTTTAACCTTAATCGTTCGTTCGCTGTTGGGACTTAAAATTATAAGAACGGTGGCAAATATTCAGATTCGCAATGGACTCCTTTCAGGCTCCAAACCCTTCGATGAAATTGAGCCAGGATGTCAAGGATAACGCCGTACTCCAAATCGTCCTCGAGGTAGGGGTGTTAGGTCTTAAGAATTTGAGTCCTCTTGACGCGAATATCATCCAGACATTTTGATATCACTTTCGCTTCGCAACTAAATGACACTGGTGCTGACGTGTATCACGATTGGTAATGCGCTCTAAAAAAATAGTCTGCGAGTTCACTTTCTTGCAGAACACGGATACAGCCAATCCTGGTGAACAATGGAAGAATCCCAGCGAACGATGAAGCTCAGATTGCGATTAAGTCTGAAAACTGCGGATGTGCTCAGAGACAATGAACGAGTGAAACGTCATGCACATTAACCTTTGTTTTGTTTCAAGGGATACTACAGGGTGATTCAAGGAGAGGCCAGTCTCTTTAAATCGACCGCAAAATTCGGTTTCTTAACCTATCGCGCTACGACTTTGTGCAGCGTTGCCCACAGATGGTGCATTTTTTTTTTGTAAAATTCGCAAAGAGCGAACTTACCTGATGAAAAGGTAAAGAAAGAAAAAGGCTTAGCTCCTATGGAAACGCAGCGACGCCGCCGGTCTTCAAACAACACGGCGCCGTTTCGCACGGGAGACAAGAGACGGCGCAAGGGGTCACGACGCCAACTGCCGCCAACGAACGAGCGTACGACACCGAGAGCCAGCGTCTTTAGCAGACAAGGAACTGCAGCTCCTTGTTGTTACCGCGCCTGTTTTTGAGTCGAAAAGATTGTCTGCTAAAAACGCCGGCTCTCGGCGCCGTATGCTCGTTCGTTGGCGGCGTTCGTTGCGCCATCTCTTGCCTCCCGTGCGAAACGGCGTCGTGTTGTTTGAAGAACGGCGGCGTCGCTGCGTTTCCAAAGGAGCTAAGCCTTTTTCTTTCTTTACTTTTTCATCAGGTAAGTTAGCTCTTTGCAAATTTTAGAAAAAAAAAAAAAAAAGACACCATCTGTGGGCAATGCTGCACAAAGTCGTAACGCGATAGGTTAAGAAACCGAATTTTGCGGTCGATTTAAAGAACCTGGCCTCCCCTTGAATCACCCTGTACAACGAAATTTCGGCGCTTATTTTTAATGTGTTCAAAGGAGCAGGATCACATCGGACACACCAATTCTCTGTTAAAAAAATAAAAACACACGAAAAGGAATTTTAAAACAAATTAAACAATTAGCAAAAAGCACCGGGTGTATGTCTCTAACGCGTCGTTTGTAATGCCATAAGAACCTTGACAGGTAGTGACGATAACTGTCTCACTTCCGGCCACCACGAGAGAAGAGGGGAAGGAGAAACTCCCCTCTCCCCGAGAATCTCTTTTGTGTGTCCCAGAAGTTGCTATTGTCCCTCTACAAGATTTTGGAAGATTAACCCGTCAATTGATATTCGTACAAATGCAGCCGCTTCAGTGGCTGGAACGACTACGACATCCTCTCGATGTCAGCCTCGCCGCAGCTTCGCCGGTCCCGAGACGAACTACGTCACGATTGCGGGGGATGTCACGTTCTCTCCGCTGGCTGTACTCAGAGCACTTGCCAAAGTGGGCCGTTTATAACGAAAAATACAGCCACCAGGCTCAAAATACAAACGTGCGATTGTTATTTACGAATATTGTGGATCATATTCAACCTATTTCTGAACACGACGGGTATATTTCAAATTTCCTTGAAGTATTCCTTTAATGCGTAAGCATTATAGGAACACTCGGTTTCACCAAAAACCCGCCGGTGTCGGTCCATGGGTCCGTTTGTCAGCGCTATGCACGACGTCGCAAGGAGAGGGGTGGTAAGGAGGTATCGTGTTTACAGATTCAACGTCTCACCAGGGCGGTGGGGAAAGAGGGAGAAAGTGACGCTTCGGAAATAGGAGCGTCGGACAGGCGGAGTCAGAGACGAGCAGGCGCCGTGCCGCTTTGTAATGCGGCTTTGTTCAGTTGCCGCTCCGGCGATAGATGTGGTACTTTCTACGAGTGATAGAGGGGGTGAAAAAAAAGCTTGAAAACGGGTCATAAACGATTCGACAGGGGTCATAAACGATTTGAAAGGGATAATAAATGACAGGAAAACGGTGATAAGCGAATGACAATTAAGGGGTTCTAGAGGAATGGAAAGGGGTGAAAAGGGGGTGACAAAGAACCAATGCTAAAGCATTTCCACCGGATGCTTGCCTAATCGTATTCTGAGCTTTCTAATTTGCTGGAATCCTTCTGCTGTTCACCGTGATCGGTTGTCTCCGAGTTCTGCAGGAAAGTGAATAGTCGCGAGCTCATAGGATCGCTTCGCAGCCCATAAGACTGCGGCATTTTTCGATTAGTGCTCTGAACAACAAATCGGAGAGTAAGAAGCGGGAGAATAATATGGCCCTGCGTCTCTTAGCTGTCGATAGCGCATGCGCAGTTGGTACCGGAGGGCCCATCGTACCATATCGGATGTGCAAATATACGGTTTCCTAAAACTTCCTATTGAAGCGCATATCGGATGTGGAAATATACGGTTTCCTAAAACTCCCTATTGAAGCGCTTACGGCTGAACATGGTGAACTCTTTGCGTTCTTTTCCTTTATAATTGCCTCCCGCATACCTGAAAGCAAGCATTATTTACGAGGCTTTCTCGGTTTACCCTGCAGAAAATTGTTTCGCCTTTTTGAGCACATCTCTGCGGAGGGCAAGTTCGTCTGCTTCTTGCGCAAGGGGTAGCGGTGACGTCAGAACGCCGAGCCCTGATTGGCTGATCGCGACCCCCTATCTGAGCGTCGTCTGCTCCTTCGCAATGTCGTCTGCTCGCAGCGTCGTCTGCGTCTGTCTTACCTTTCCTGCGACTTTCGGAAGCGCAGAGGCCAGATTCACGAAACGATCTTACGCCAAAAATGTGCGTAAGACAAAACTTAAAAACAAATTCGTATTCACGAAACGAAATTTTCGTAAGTTTTGCGCAGGTTACGACGAAATCCTACGACAGCTCCGAAGCTGCACTTCTTACGATCAAATCAGCATGGCCGACAGCGTCGCGATCGCGACGACCCACGGACGTTTATTTTTCTACGTGCGCTTCTCACGCGTCCTGACTTCAAGCAGCAAGAAAAAAAAAATTAAGAAGTACTTGAAACAGACCACGACGAACAAGAACGCTGGATCCACCAACACCCGGGAAAAGCTCGAACGGCCACGATTCCACCGAACGCGACCAAACGAGCTGGGCAGTTAGGCCTAGCAGGCACTCCGCGACTCGGCGACCGTCTGCCCACGACCGGCTGGCGTGCTGAATGGAATATGCCCGCGCGACCCTTGTGAACCCTTCCCGTATTATACTTTGATCGCTGACCTCAATTTTAGATTAAGCGGTCAATTTCTTCCTCTTGTTATCTCCTTGCTTCCCGAGGCAATGGTGACTCTCGCCGGTGAAAAAGCGGTGAATCTCCGACAGACGCAGGAAAGGTAAAGCAGCCATCGCTTTGACTAGCAGACGTAAAGCAGACGACGTTAACTGCGCCAACCCGTCGACGCCGTTAAAGGGGAACTCCGCCGATTTTTTGGCAGACTTCGATTTGGCTGGAAATTTGCAGACCGCATCAATAACCCTTTCTCAATTGATAACCAAAATATTTTATAAAAATAAAATTTTTCGGTGAAGTTATTGATTTTTCTAGTTACGCCGGCCGCGAGGGCTCCAGGAGGTGACTCTCTACTGGCAACAATGAAAAATCCCTACTTTTCCCTACCCGCGGACGTCACGAATGTGCAGGTGGACGAGCGACTCCGGCAGCCGCGAAGTGCCTTTCCGGACGCCAGTGATCGAGATAACTTTTTCGCAGCTTCCAGGTTGAAAGTTCCTTTGCAATGGGTAGCAATATGTGCTCCGCGATATATTGTGGAAACAGTGCCGAGAAAAAGCTTTTTTTTTTTGGCCCTTCTTTTCGTGGGAGAAAAATAAAAGCGTTCCCGGCAGCAATGGAGGTCAGCCACGTCAAGGTGTTTTTGCGCGAGCTGTGTGCCGAGAGAAATAGTTCACGTCAAACAATTTCACTTTTGCTCGGAATACTTTATAGCCGGGTGCTGCGAGTTGAGTATCCTTCAGCAGCTGGAACAGCTTCAAGAGCGGCAAGCGCAAACAAACTCAAGCTGGCTGTGACCATTACGACATCCGTCCAAAGAAGAGCGCTAATAATGTCGAGAAATATAGTACACAATCTAGCACTATAGTCGACATTTTTCACGGTCACATTTGTTATTCACAATGGGTTCAGTGATTTCTTTTATTTTTTTATAAACACTGTATTTGTTTCGGACGTCGAATCTAGCTCGGGCTACACCCAGAGTTTCACTCACGCGGCCGATATGTTGAAGACGAGAAGTGAAACGTTTAAATGAAGTTCAAGACTGAATTTAGACATGACTTTCGACATATTGGTATTCCTGTCTGCTATTACAGAGGATTATGGAGTAGGTGTTGAGCTTCATTAATATACGATACAGCCTTGCCTGGTTTGTAAAATGGTAGGCGTGCAATAGTTTCTGCAGAAGAAGTGATGAAAACGTCTTTAATTTGTTATATTGCAAAGAAAATTTATATAGGGCAGAAAAGTTTTTTAAACCATGAAAATATTAGTGTCGTTGAGGGGAGGCATAAAGGTTTGCAACTGATGGAAACTGTCCTAAACCAACTTAATTAAAAGAAATGTCTTATTATATAAAATTACCCCCTTCCCATGTGCTCTCGTGGATGGGTGTTTGAACGCGTTTCATTCTACTCAAAAAAAAAAAAAAATATGGGTACACATTTTTTTAGTAACCTTTGTTAACTCATTTTAAATTAAAAGATTTATGATGTATTTCTGTACCTCACGGACTACTGTATCTTTAAGCAAATATTCTTTATTTGGGGATGAACAGTGTATTAGTGTATTTTATACGCATTGCATTGCACCTTGATGTTTGGCTTGGTGGTTGCAGAGTTCTTTTAATTGTCATTTTAACACGATCTTCATGACCAGTAACCTGACATCTGATCTACACGAATGCAGCTTATTCCATTTTATACGTTTCATTGTTCACGAGAATCACAGTCTACATGTCTTAGGTCCCAACCCAGCACGCACATGTTCATCGCTTTGGAAGGCGAGCAATGTACGCGCCACACGCACGAACGCTGAAAATGGCATCGACCAGAAGCGCTTTTCAGAAATGGTCTACAGATCTTTTGCTAAATTACTTAAGCACCAAGGAGCATATTCATGCCACATGAGTAGTTACACGTGCTGACGCCTGCAACAGCAACTTTTCAAAAGGAGATCTAAAACAAATGGCAGGTTCCTTCAAATCATACGAGCGTGTGGGGCATCTGAACCCACATTCCGAGCATTTTCCGCGGTGCTTTGGCAATTCGTCAAAAAATGTATTGCGTTACTCTTCGACCTTTCTTCTCCAGCCTTCTTCTAATAAAAAGAGAACGGATTTACTAGCGATATCATGGAAATAGCTAGCCGCGGCTTGAGCGTAGTGAGTTGCGAAAACGGTTTGATAAAAATTCCAATTTCTCCCTTTTCTTTTTACTTTTCTATAGTTTAGCACGTAGGCCAAGGTCATATTTTGAGCAAATATAGATAATTATCAACTTCAAATAGCGCGGACGCCCAGGTTTTCTCGCTGTTATAGACCAGTGTCCGCGCCAATTCCAGGGCGCCGCCATGTTTATCACACTCGCGCCACCACGCGGAGAGAACTGGCAGGCAGGAGGGGGGGGGCTGCGTTGGCGGCGTTGCTTTGGGGAGCTGGATGCGGCAGGCTGTCCGAATGCACCGGCACATCGTGAACGATGTCTTCACCAGAAGCCTCCGCGACCCGTTCTTCAACAGATAAGATGTCGTGAACATTCGAGAACCCATCTCGATCAAGAAAACAAGAGAAAACCTTTCTTGTCTTAAATGTTCTCGGTGTCTGCTGATCCTTGACATCCGCGTTTCAGTCCGGGTTCATTGCGTAGCAAATATTTCGCTGCCACTTTCTTGTAGCTTTCAAATGCACGTTTGAGACCGATTTTCGCGATCTGCTTGCCTTTCTGCGGCAGCGCGGCTCTGCCGAGCCGAAATAAGTGGGAGGCGTTCACTTGATCGAACGCCGTTTTAGCGAATGAAAACGAGACCACGACGGTTCATCGAAGGACTAGCGAATGGGTCTAGTTCCATAGACAGCTCGGATTAGCTTTGTTTTGTAATGTGCCGCCTTGTCTCTCCCCCCCCCCCCCCCCCCCCCACACACACACACACACTGCGAGCGTCTGGGTTCGAAACTATTAATTGCCAGTTCTAAAGGATGGTACTTACTTGAAGTGGGAGCTGGAATTCTACGAGGTACCAGGAGACACTTACTATCGGGCAACGAAGCACGGTGCCTGTGGGGCGGAGTCTAGGAACGCTACTGATTAATATTGTGACAGGCGATCAGTTATGATAACAGACGAAACTTCGACTCGTTTGTTCAGAAGTTCGCGGTGATATTTTATTAGCCCTCGTTATAGCACACCAAGGATCTTAGGCAGTGATATTCACATCACGCAGGCTCGTCCGTCGTAGTCAAATGGGCGCAGTCGACGACGAAATGTAATGAGCTACTAAGCTTCACAAGGTAAATGCCCGCGAGAAAGAGTTTTGTGGCAGTCCAAAACACCGATCCAGCAGACGCACGTACGTACGTTTACTCCGGACTCCATGAACCCGACGGCGCAAGATCAAAGCGATCAAAGAGCACCGCCGCCATCGCCACCGGGTTTTCTCTGCACTTTGCGCGACAACGGCACTGCAACGGAGGGCACTCACCTCGGAGTTAACAATCTGCGAAATAGATTAATTTCCCACTCTTGAAGCCATTCCAAATGAGAAATGAAAATATCTCGGCGTTGTAGAACATCTGACGACACAACTGTGCCGAGCGCCTGCTCGGCGTCGTTGTTGCTCGTGCAGGCCTGCTTATTTGTAGTTGAGACGATGATTCCACATCTTTCGTGCCACTCGTGGTGCCTGCGATAACTTCGAAGGGCAGGGGAATCTTTTCACGAGGACGTTGAAGACACTCAACACCGGAGCCACCAAAGCAATCGCACAAACCGTCGCCATGTTTGCTTCTTCGTCACTCGCGGCGCGGTCAACTCGTCGCGAGATGTTTTCTGGCTCGGCTAGATGGAAACCAACAGCGGCAAAGTGGCGTATGGACACACTGCTCTCACATTACGGGCACTATGCTCACATACCGCGGTAAACAGGACCGATGCCGGCGAAACTGCAGTCGGCGCACCGGCGAAGAAGCCTTCAACGGGAAGCGGCGGCGCAGGCCACTGTGGTGCAGGCCGACGCAGCCCCCCCTCCCCGTGAGCGTCTGGGTTCGAGATTATTGTTCGCTTTTGCTCCTTGCGGTCGAGGCTAAAAAGAGCACTTCCGGACAAAGGTCTATACGCGAGAAAGGCGGGCGGTGAGCGTTCCCAATTGCCGGCCGCGCGCCTCGCCGCACACAGGTGACGTCACGCATGGGCGGCAGGGAAAACTGGGGAAAAACTAGGGAGAACGATGTTTCGGTCTCGGCAGGAAACAAAATATCACTTTTTTAACTAACTAGAGTGAATCTGGGAGAACGAGATAGCATTTCGGAATCAGGAAGCCATCCGCATTCAGATTATGCTTTGGATTAGGCAGCTCGAAAAATCGGCGGAGTTCCCCTTTAAAGAGTGAGGGGTCTCGCCGCACACGAATGGAGGGAAAAAGTATTTGGGAGGGAACTCCCGGACACTAACACGCTCACTCTCGGTTCTAAGCAAGCAAACCTCAGCGCCCCGGGACACCTCGCCAGTGAGTCCTTTGACTTCCCTCCTTGATGCGCGTCTGCTAGTTGTTAGACAAAAACAACGTACCCCTCGAGATATTTCGTCTGCCCTCTCTTAAAGGCGAAGTCGAGTTCGCTCCGAAAATCGCAGGAACGGTAAGACAGATGCAGACGATGTTGCGAGCAGACGACGTTGCAAAGGAGCAGACGACGTTGAGTAGGGGGTCGCGATCAGCCAATGAGGGCTCGGCGTTCTGACGTCACCGCTACTTCTATTCTCATGCGCAGAAGACGAAAATGAGCCCACTTGCGAGGCGTATAGTTTTCTAGCTTCCAGTTGGTCAACAATAGCTCCCAATTGAAAAGTAACGCAATGCTCTTAATACCTGCGAGGCTCTTAAAAATATTCAGTCGCTATTAATAATTACAGAAGTTTCTTTTAAAGCTGTCTAACAAGTAAAAACCAATTTTTTAGTAACATTAAGTATCCGTTTTTAAAATCCCACGGCCGATTGCATTCTTCAGTTTCATCGCGACATCTCTGCCTGTCGTTCTTCATTGACCTCCAGTAAATCGAAATTTTATTTTGACGTGATGAGAGGTAGATTATAGACCGGGACGGATTTACGGTATTCCTAAAACGTTCTTTTTTTTCTTTTTTCTGAATAACTATGCTACCCATGAATGCTATAATAGTATTCAGGCTCTCGACTACCAGCTCGGCACTAATTCGGGTTGTTTCGTCCTCCAGGCTTTTAGGGAGGCAATGCTTGACTTTGGTTACAAGCCTGGTGGCTTAGTTTTGCCAGAGTTCACCGAGACGACAACGGACCAGTTGTTCTTTTTGTTATACAGCACGGTGAGTAAAGACTGCCGTTAGGCCATCGTAGTACACCGCAGAGGTGGCGCTTTTGTACTTTTCGGCAACAGTAAAAGAATCCGTGGAAGGCAATATTAATTTATTCACGGCAGTAGCGTTTTACGAACAGCGACGCAAAAACGGAAGGAGGCAAGGTGGAGATCAAGATTTCTTAGTGAGGCTGTGGTAGTGCACTATAGACATTTTCCACAGGGGCGCCGCCATCTTGAATTGTCGTCACTTCCAGTATGGGCGACGAGAAAATAGTAAAACGTTTCAACCTGTAACCAGTAAAAAAATAGAGGGGAGCCAGAACGAGAATGTGTGACGGTTAGGCTTGTCTTCTATTGGCGTGGCGACGGCGAAGTAATGTTTTCGCCCATACTGGAAGTGACGATAATTCAAAATGGCGGCGCCCTTGTGGAAAAGGGCTACAAGCATTTTCTCGTCACCTCTCTTGGGGTCCCTGGGGCACAATGTGGGCTGCGGCCGGATGCTTACAAGCGGCTGTCTCGTAAAAGTCCGGAGCTTGACTAGTGCAGAAATTGAAACTGAATGATATTTGATGAGAAATCGCACCGTTAAAGGGCATAACCTTAATTTTGCTGTGAATGCGTTTAGTTATGGAAATTAAAGCCAGTGGCAGATGTGGCGTAACGGTAAGCCTTCGCCCGATCCGAAGGGTTCGGCCATCTGGATCCAACCCGCGGGCTATCTCCGGGCTCGAAACGAAGGGAAAACAAAACACAGTTCACACCTCCAATAACCACTGTAGAATGTAGATTAAATGAGACAGTTGACCATAATTCGCTCGATAAGCTGCGTACGTCAGCTGAAGGTTTTCCAATACTCAAAAAAATCCGGTGGTCATCTCCAATGTGTCGTCGTCGCCAGGAAAATCCCTACTCCACCTCACAAATCTCTCGAGTACCGCCAAAGGCAGATCCGCGCGAGCCTACTCCGTTTCGCCCTACGATGACCCGCGGAGGATGCTACGAGTCATGGCAGCCAATCCAGTAGCGTGCGAGTGCCACGTGACCTTCTACAGACAAGGGCTCGCTCGCGTGTGTTTTTCTATGTACGAGAACTCGAGCACAGACGGCACTTTTCGAAGTTACGCGCTCGTACCCTTAAATATCCATCTTCGTCGCCTTTGCAGCATCGGAGGTATCGCTCGTGCCATTTCCCAGTGTGAAATTTCTGCCAAGCGGGAGACTGCGGCAGCCGCTCGAAGGAAAAGAGAGGCGTTTTTTTGTATGCCGTCAAAAATGTCTATTGGGAAATAATGCACGAAAACGGCGCTATAACGCATTTATACTTTTTCCATGGAGCGCGCGTTGTGTAGTGTCTAGCATGGGGGTTTGTTAACCCCTCCCAGTGAATTACGTAAATGAAGCTTAAAGACAAAAAGGGGGACGAAGGCGGACACCTACGTTCTTTCGTGCATGTCCGTCGCAGTTTGCCCTTTTGCGTTTTGCTTTCAATTTTAACAAATATGTCAGCACGCTCGTCGGAATATTCCTAAAGTAGTTCCTCCCAATTGAGCCAACCTTCAATTCTCTTTGGAGCTAAATGCGGTTTCCTTGTGCCCTAGAGCTATTGCGAAGTGACAACTCAGGAAGCGCAAATGGCGGATGATGTCAGCAGCACGTCTCATCCACGTCGTTCCAGGTATGTTTCTTTAAACTTTTCATCAGAAGTGTTTCCTTTGTGAAGTTAATGCAAAGCTGCAGGCGACCTGGTTAAGAGCAAGCATTTTTTAACCCTGGAAAGCGGAGAAACAGGACAGAACAATCACCGCAACGACGGAAAGGACTACGGACTTTGAGCAATGTGTTTTTTAAAGGTGCGCAGATCGTGGTTGCAGAAGACATCAAGGAGTGCAACTGATCACATGAACATTGCATAAATGACACACGTTCAAAGTACGTCTGCCTAGATATCGCATGCGTGCCTACATAGCTTTATATATAGGTTACATGTATTGCATGCATACACTCCATGCCTTTGTGTATTGCATTTATACATTGCATACATGCACGTGAATACAGTCACACACTCTGAAAACTTCCTGTGCGTGTACACTTTGCCGGAGAGCATTCGGGGAGTCAACCACTGCCCTCCAAGGACAGAGAGGTCATCATCGAATGACAATCTCGAAAATATGCTTGAACCTAAAATTTAGGTCTACAGTGTAACACTTGCACCAGCACGGTCGTTTTAAATTATTGTGACACTTGGCAAGACGTTAGATTGTGAAACGTCATGCTCATTGTGACATCGTAGATATTATATTTAGATCTAAACATATTTTCGATTAGTTCGTCCGCCGAGTACCCTCTATAGACCGTTTTATCGTGGGTAGCGCCATTTTGAGAGCGAGAGAGAAAAGGGGAAGGGCTACCGGCGCTTTCCCCCTCTCTGATTGTGTAGAAAGAGTGAAAGTCCCGGATGAGAGGCTTGGCCGGTGTTGGGCGTCTGCAGTGCCCCAACTTCGTTCGCGCTTTCTTCTACGTTTCAAACTCGCAAACTTAATTAAAGCCATGGTCTTCGATGGCGACAGTCCCCCGGTCATCGGGACACCATTGCTGGGTGATAGGGTGCACGAATACCGACAGAAAGCGTCGAATACTGTCCGAGGACCTATGTAGCTTGCGTGGAATCCGGCAAGGCAAGTACGGCTGGAATGTTTTTAAGCTCCATTGCTTTCCGCATGGCTGGAAATGATGAACCATTTATACATTTTTGCTTGCAATGGGCCTATTTCAACGTAGCCGCTTTTAGTTGTAATCAACAAGCGATACACGAAACGGAAACCTCAATTAACTTTGTAAACGTCCGGAGCTGCTACATATCGTCTTGCTGTGCTGTTTTTATCTTCGTGTTCCTGTTCTTATATTTCCTCGTGAATGAACGACGAAGACGCTCTAGATGTACTTTTATCGAACCGCAGAAAGTCTCGAAGCAGCCACGAATTATTTTACTATTGCAATATTTTGAGTACTCACCTCCAATTTCTATAGCTGGCACGTTCGCTGCCGCTGTTCCCCCCGTCGCCACACTGGCGGATGCCATGACTCAAACAAAGAAACGTGCACACTGGGCTCGAAAACGCAGATCGCAACACACGAGACGTTTTCTGCAGCGACTATCAAGCGCCTCAAAGCGCCTTAGTCAACGGAAACAACCCACCAGCGGCACTCCAAGGAGCGCTTTTGCCGGCTCTCTGGTATCGCGCAGGAGATCGCGATTAAAAAAAAAAAACAAGAAAAAAAACAAAAAAAAAACAATAGAACTATGTTTTCAACAATTTCCAGCCTCACCCGGCGGCGGAAATAAGCCTTCAAAGTGTTGTAGATGATAAAATCGACTCAGTCACCACTGCAAATTATCACTATTAAGATAAATTTAGTTACGAAATTTTACAAGCTGAAACAGCAGTTATCATGAGAAAACTCGCACGCACATTGCGAGCGTACCCCATGTTCATCGGCGGTACAGCGTTCGGTGCGCGCTCCATTCACGAAATGTTCCGAGCGAAGTCGAGAGGATGGCGTTGAGGAAACGCCTTTTCGGTTTACGGACGCAATCCACTGCCCCCGGAGACAGGGGTCATGTGGAAAGCGATGGAGTTCAAAGACATTGCAGCCGCTCTCGCCTTGCTGGATTCCTTGCAAGCTACATAGGTCCTCGGACAGTATTCTATGCTTTCTGTTTTTATTCGTGGACCCTATGACCCAGCAATGGTGTCCCGATGACCGGGCGACTGTTGCCATCGAAGCCTCGGGCTTTAATTAAGTTTGCGAGTTTAAAACAGAAAAAAAAAAACCACGAACGACGTTCGCGCACAGCAGACACCCAACACCGGCGAAGCCTCCTCATCCGGGACTTTCACTCTTTCTACACAATCAGAAAGGGGGAAAGCGCCGGTAGCCCTTTCCCCTTTTCTCTCTCGCCCTCTTTCAGTAAAACGGTCTATAAAGTGGAGTGGATGGAACTGGAGCTCTGCAGGAAAGCAAACGCGTGGACAGCTCTTAGAACACACAAACACTGCACGACACTTATTGCAAAACGACATCGGCGCATTTTGCATTTATTAAGACACAGTATTGACGGCCACTAATCTTTACCATTTAGGTTACTGCCCCGAATGATCATGAGCGAATGAGCAGTTATTATAACAGCTCTTAGTCTAAAAAAAAAAAATCAAACTGGCTATCGTTTGTTTTCGTTAACAGTGTCGTGGTGTGTACATATCCACATGTACAGATAAAGGAAAATACTAAAATAAACAAAACTATTTCTAACACTTACGCATCCCGTAAAGTGAATACACAGCGATAGCTGAGGTTTGGCATTGGAGCCGCTAAGGTGTCATTTCGGAGCAAATGTACTCAAGGAACGGCAAGGGTGTGAGCGCGCACCATAGAGTCCGCATATGCGTTTCGTATGAAACCAAGTAACACAGCGGAAGAAACTTTCATGGCGTTTTGGAACCATTGAGGGCGTATGAAGTAGAGAGCATTTCGTGAACCCGTTAAACAATTTTATGAGACGGAAACTAGGACTGCCTTGTTGTAATTGAACAACACTTCGAAGATCGTGCGCTCAAGTTTGAAATCCAGAAAACGACGAAACTGCATGTGTATGCATGAACCAATCCCCGTCTTTGGTGTGGCTGCCTGAACGTTTTATGCAATGTTATTACGTTGCAGCTTCACCTAATTTCACGCCCGTGATTTCGTCGGCCCTATTGGTTTCAACACCTGAGAACCTCTCTGGCATAATTAGCGAAGGCGCTTTGTTTTCATTGTTTCCATTACCAGCAGTCTCATGTTTATGTTTCTACGTGCCGTCATGTTGTCACGTGACGTCTGAATGTCACGTGACGTCACAGTGTCAGGTGACGTCACGACATCACGTGACTCACTGTGTCGCCTGACGTCATTAAGTCGCGTGGCGTCACTGTGCAACGTGACTTGACAATGTCACGTCATAATGTCAGCTGACGCCAGGTAACGGGTGAGGTGATGCGCGGCGTGACTTCAGAGCAGGGTGTAAGATAGACAGGTGGGGAAACGGCACATAGAAGCCTACCGCAGCGCCGTGACCGGATTGTGTACTCGTCTGCTTCCGGGTACCCCCGACCTGCGACAGATGGCGCTGCGGCGAGAAGAAAAAAAATCGGAATCGGATTTGCGCGGAACTTTATGGGAGAGTGCGCAAAATAAACCGAGAACACGAAAGCCCTCCATTGAAAATCCACGAGAAACCATCTCCGTCAGTTTAGCCGGTCGCCATCGGTCGCCCACCCGGAGTGAGAGTTTGCGGTGCTCAACATAGATGGCGCCACAGAAAAAGAGAAAACCGAGGGGGACACAATGCGGTCGCTCATTCGGCTCTCGTTTCCCCACCTGTCTATCTTACACCCTGCTTCAGAGTCGTGTCGAGCGGCGTGACGTCAGCAGCGTGACGTTAATGTGGAATCTTTTAGAGGAGTGCCGGAAATGGCCCGCGTCGATATGGATCGCGGTCGACGGCGGGAAAACCCGCGAAGTGTCCCACTAACAGCTATCGCTGTAGTAACAGCTGGAAGAGGTGAAATATATTCGAGCGTGGTAAATAATAAAAAGGCATTATCCACATGTCGCTAATCAGATTTCACTAAAAGAAAACGGATTCGCGCGATACGTTGTGATGTTTTACACTTATCTCTAGTCCTAACCTCTAGTTCCAACTGTTCATGTCAAGCAGCCGCCACGAAAGCTGAGGCGGATCGATCGATCGAAAAATGCGCCGCAATGTGTGCGGCAGAATTTCCCAGAGATGGCGCCTCTAGTTCAACTCCAGGTCAGGCTCTCGTGGTGCTTTCGTATCGCTCTGAGACTTTTGCAGTCGCCTCATCTGTGTGGCTCGCGTGTTTTTTTGTTTGTTTGCAATGCTAGTGAATAGATAGAAACGTCTGCTTTAAAGAAATGCGAGCTGATGTAATAAGGAAATATAAATGAGCAGGGGACGGGGTAAAGGGATATTGCACAGAGCAAACACTTGACGTCGCAGTCGCGATGTCATACGAGGTCAATATTTACAACGCGTTCTGAAGTCTAAAAGATGGAGCACGCGAACATCGTTCCTATGTAGACTTCCAGGCTTCGTGCATTTATTTTATAAGCTTTGATATGTCGACTAGGCCTGGAAAGCATTGTTTGAACACTCAGTCCACAGCAAAAATTGGTGTCCCACGAGCGACAATATTTGGGTGAATTTAACATACCGCTATAGGGTCATCCAGAAACAGGCTTTGATTTAAAAACACTTTTTATGAGTTGTGAATGCGGAAGCATGAATGTCGAATTGAACCACCCTGTGTGCTTCTTCCAGCTTTGCGGTGCGATGTTTGTCGGCGCCGAAAGGAGTACCCGCTCCTCCTCCTCTTTTTGCCCTCCCCCCTCGGCCCTCGGGGCTTCCTGCGAGCGCGCGCCACCGCGTTGACCTCTGTTAACCGTGTTCCTTCCACCGGCGCCGGCGCGGGGCCGCAGCGCCATGGGGTGGCGTTGCGGCCCCGCGCCGGCATCGCTGTCACAATACCGCATCGCTGTCGCTGTATATGCCACATCGCTGTCAGAAACTACAGGCTTCGCTTCATTGGGACAGGGGAATGCAAGTGCCGT